TGCAAAATCCCAAATTTCATAACCAGAAGTTATTGTGGTCCCTAACGTTAAAGATCAAATTAACTTATGCACACAAACGAGAGAAACTATTAGTGGTTCCAGACCATTAAGGTCTCTACTAATATCAATATGACACAAATACATGTACGCAGAAATTTTTTAGGATAATGGACACGTAATAGTATGATACAACCTCGTAGTTTCTCCGCCAATGGAAGACTAAATTGACAAATAGTTGTCAAAATTAAATCAATAGACAATTAATAAAGTGAACGAAGAACTCGATCAGTTTTCACAATGTCAAACGGCTAAATTGATAGATAGGGTCCACTTAGAAAAAAAAATTCCATATGCACCTATGGGAGAAAAAAATAAGAAGGAAAACTTGAAGACAATTTCTCTGTTCTAACCTATACATGAACAGATTTATAGGAGTTGTTTCCAAACAAGTTCTCTAAAATACATTGTTTAACTTAACTTTAGCTCATGGGGAAACTTTTCTCTGTTCATGAAAAAGTTCTCTCCAGGCAGACCCAAAATCATACACTAAACTCACTTTTTGTAACTTAAATTCAAAGGATCAACCTGACCAGCGTACAAAATGAATGTTCTACCTTGCCTTGAAAATACCAATGCAAATTGAGGCCCGGAAAAAGTAGAACAAACACTAACCTGGAATATATAGGTTTGCCGGAATGACTGAGAACGAAAAAATGTTTCTTCCTCTTCCTCCATGATATAGAGCCATCATCCTGCACTATAATCAATAAGCAGACAGAACACGGCACTTATAGGTATCGATCATCAGAGAGTTAGTGCGCGAACCAAAACCAACGCACATACCTCATCGAAGTGCCGTTTGCCGGGAATCCACGAGGCGTGGGAATCGGAAATCGAGATTCTGTCCATATGAATCGTCGTGTCCTCTTCTATTTCTTCGTGCTCAATTTCGAATTGCGAACCGGTGGTTGCGCTGGTGCTGCCTCCTTCGCCGACGTACCCGCTGCTACCGGGGCTGGATGGAGCATCCTCCGAAGCGGGTTCGACGGAAGCCCTAATCTCTCCATCGGACTCTGTTTCGTTGTCGTTCATAGTTATGATTTTAGAGAGAGAGTGTGTGTCTGTTGGCGAAGACATAGAGAGAGAGGGTTGGGGTTTTGAAGCAAAATGTTGTTGCGCTGCCAGTCGCTGCTTGTCTCGGCTGGGTCTGACAGGTAGCTGGGTGCAGTCAGCGGACGTTCGCGACCACCACGACTCACCAGCTCAGATTGGCGGGCCGGGCTGGGATAACACACTTTCTCACTCAGGCCCAATGCTTTTTGGGCACCATATGCTTACAAAACGATTTCGGCAGTTTCTTCAAGAAACTCCATAACATTCTACCTCTGCCAAGGTATAGTGTTTTTCTCCATTTTATCATTTTCAGATTGTACAAAAGTTTTTTTTTTTTTTTTATGTTAATCCAGAAGTTAAAAATCGCTTTTTAATTGTATAATCTAGAAATTAAAAATAAATTTTAAACTTTTTGAAGTTGCTACGTCCATAAATGTCATTATGTTACGTGATCAATTAATTTGTTTTATGAATTATTTTTTATATAATGTTTTCCATAAATGTGTTTTGTTGTTATCATGTTAATTGTTTTGTATGACCTTTACATTGTTTTAATCCATTTTATCCTTTTTAGATTGTACAAAAGTTTTTTTTTATTTATGTTAATTCAAAAGTTAGAAATGGCTTTCTAAATGTATAATCTAAAAATTAAAAATAAATTTTAAACCGTTTGAAGTTGTTACATCCATAAATGTTATTTTTATATTGTTATATGATTATTAATTTGTTTTTTGAATGGTCTTTTATATATATTTTTTTATGAATGTAATTTGTTTGTATTAGAGTAACTGTGAAACTGTTTGGACATTTAACCATTAAGTCACATGAAATCAAGTGAGCTACTTGTGGTTGAGTGATCATGAAAATGGAACAAGTATGACATAACAACTTAAAATAAAAGCGTGATTACTTTCAATTGGACTATATTAAGTCGTTACTAATCAAGGATTCGCACTAAAATCTATAATACAAGTAAAGATAAGAGGTATGTGATTTTGTATTTACTGCATCACTGATGCTTAAGCTCTTGAATCTCTAGTAACTTTTGACATGAGTACATTCTACAGGTAATCTCCAAACATAACAGACACGACCCAAACAAACATAAACATAGAGACAAACAATTAAACTTAATACTTAGACCCCTTTGTAACCTAAAATGTTAAATAATTGATCTTGACTCTGCACCTTAAACACTAAACATCCTCTTTGTTTTGTGATTGTTTTGTTAGGTAAATTTTTAATGAAAATATAATATTAATAAGTTAATATAGTATTATTCCTTTTGGATAACTATACTGATATTATATATAATATAATATTTCCTTATATATGTAATATATTAATATATTATTATTCCTTTTGGATAACTATAATGATATTATATATAATCCAATATTGAATATCTATTATGAAATGTAGTGTTGAATAGGTTTTTACTATTAAATAAAATATTAAATATTCAATTACAATTTAAGTGTATTTTTTCATCAATAACAAATAAAAATGTTATAATTAAAGTCATTCAATAATTGTAATTATAAAACGTTTTAATTTATTTTAAATTTGTAAAAGTTATTTATTTTTATTCGTTGGAATAGAGTTTTTAATTATTTGTTTTTATAACATGTAAAATTATTAGCAATTATTTTATTTGAATTATAATTCTTTATTTTAATTGACTAAATTATCATATATAATATTTGAAACAATTATATAATAAAGTATATTTTATTAAGAGAATATATAAATAGATTAAATATGGTTTAACAGTAAAAATATTATTATTTAAATTTATAAAATAGAATACATGTACGGGTACAGTAGATACAGTTGAGTATTTGTATGAGGGTAAAGTTAGCAATAATTGGCGTTGAAGAAGTAAAAAGTATTGCCTCGGAGGCCCAATTATTTCCCTCGGTAACTTTCCATACTTACCATCGGGTGGTTAAAGCCTGAAACCGATGAAGCACGTTTATTTCGATCGGAGCATCAAGTCTATTTATGTTTAGAATTTATTTTAAAAATATACTAAAAATACACAGAAAAGAAAAAAAAATAGTAAAATAAAAATATTTGTCATCTTAGAGTCCATATGAACGGTCCATCCATTCAGGATGGTTATCCGCTACTTCAACAATGTTGAATTCTAAATGAACCAACGTTCAAATTATTATTGAGCCAATAGTCTAGTAGACCATAAAATAATCAAATATATTTGATTAGAGATATTAATAAAACCGTTTATGAGTAACTAACTGAATCGCCAGGTAAATTTGTTTTGTTTGGTCTATGAAATACTTATAAATACAATGACAATGTCAAAGGCAGTGTATACACACTCTACAAGACTCAAATATTCAATTGTGATAGAGTTCATTAAACTGTTTCTAACTTGAGCAGAGTGTCTTTTGTAGGTACCTCCCCGGTCAAGAATACAACCGAGCGGAGATTACAGTTGAGTATTTGAGTCTTATAGAGTGTGAGTTGAACGTACCTGAATTTTGGTACTGTCATTGTATTTATAATTTTTTCATAGACCAAATAAAAACAAATTGAGATTCGGTTAGTTACTCGTAAACGACTTATCAATATCTCTAATGAGATATCTTTGATTATTTTATCGTCTGTTGGACCATTGGTCCAATAATAACTTGAAAGTTGACCCAATTTGGACCTAACATTGTTGGTGTGACGGATAGACCAAACGATCCTGATGGACTGAACTGGTCCATAGTGTATATCATACAATAAAGTTTGTTTATTTCATTAAATTTAATTCGACATAATAATGAAACATTTGAATCCTATATATAATAATATCATGACTAAAATTCAAGATTAAAAAAAAAAGTTTTACTAGTAAAAGTTATCATTAAATTGAGAATATAAAATTCTAACAAGAAAGGTTTTCAATTTTGGAATCGAAATACAATTATAAAAAAGCTTAACGAAAGTGAAAAGAAACAAAGAATAGCAAAAAGAAAATGAAGTTAATAATCGGGGCTATTATAGTATAAGCTTGACAAGAGCACATTTGGATGTCTAGTTCAATAATGATGGAATTACATTTTTGCATTAATTATATTGTTTAATAATGTTAAATCAATTTGTATTGTTTTGTCTTGATGGAGTTGGATTGATTAAATTCATTTGTTTTGTTGCATTCAAATCACACCTACTTTTCTTCAATATTATTTGGTAAAGAGAATCGTGAAGGAGAGATCGTTCCACGTTTGGACATTTTAGTGAATTAAAACCATAAAAGGACCTCCATCTTTCGGAATTATTTTTGGGGCTACTTTTCGCATTTCTCTTTCTAATCACAATTGTAGGGTAGCTATCACCCTCGCCTTATGTATTGATATTTGTCAAGTGAATTTATCAGCGTTATTTCAATTATTCTAATAATTATAGTCGGAAAAAAAAAAGTCATTCTACCATCCATGTATTATGTGAATGAAAAATATTTTAATGAATAGATATTTTAATTAACACCAATGTTTAGGGTTTTTTGTTTGAAACTTCAATTTTTCACAATCAGTCACTTTTTTATTTCTTGAAGTAAAGTTGAAAGCGGTAGCTATGAATGGATATTTGATGATTAGTCCCCACTAAGTTTGTGGTGTAGAATAATAGAGCGTTGGTCCAATGGTCCCAACCCTAAACGGCTAAAACAAGCCATTTCAAAACCCTAATCCCAACACCAATCACCCAACAAGCTTACCCTACTTTCCTTTTCAGCTCCTATCATGGCTCCACCACCTCCAACTCCCACTCACCCATTTAGATTTTTCATCAACACAACACCGTCCATCAATCGCACCCATTAACGATCACCCAGAAACAAAAACTCAACCTAATTATCACACCACCATGAATCATGATCAAATGAACAAGAACATTTATATATTTCTTAAGGGTACGTGTAATTTTACACAAGTTAAAAACTCAGGTTTCGAATTAAGAATATCAGAAACCTCTTATAATCAATCACCTCGTACACGTGAACTTAACCACCAGAATTAACACAAAAAAAACTGTCAATTACAGTGACGAAAGTAGAACAGGAAAAAGACGATGAAGATTCTGTCTTCTGTTTTCTCAGTCTTGGAAACCGGTTTTGGCCCAAATGGCGTTTCGGAGCGTACTCAGATCCCTTCCCTTCAGGGTTCTCCCTAAACCTTCATGCACGGAGAAAGAAGCAACCCTAGTTCTCGCCAGAAACTCGTGCGGTGGCACTCTCCCGCTCCGTTCAAATTCATCATAACCCTCGTTGTGATCGTCGTCGTACTCGTTGTCCTCGTCGTCGTCGTGGTTGTTGTTGTTTCTTTTCGCGTACTCGTTGCCGAGGATCTTGGACCAGTCGGGGATGTTGATGGGCACTGACGCCGCGGCGGCGGTGGTGGAGGAAGTGGGGTTTTTCTTGGCGGAGCCGCGGCCGTGAAGCGATCTGCTGAACTCGAACGAGTTAGCCCGGCCCGAGTTGTAAATCTCGGACTCGTCGAATTCGAAGGCGGATTCGGAATCCATGGTTAGCGATAGAGAGTCTCTGTTGGAAGCGACGGGGAGAAAACGGTGGCTTCGTGAAGTGAAGTAGTTCTTTCTGCTCGCCATTGTTTACATGCAGAGGTCGCGGTGCTTTTATAACGTTGTTGGTTTTGTTTTTGTTACGTGAGTGAATGGAACTGTGGAAGAAGGTTCTGTTGTTTTTGTTGTTGCTTGTTTTTTTTTTTTTTTTCTCTTCCTCCAATGTTGTTGTTTATTATGGTTCGCTTGATGTGCTTTTATAAAGGGTTTGTTGCTATCTACTTCCCTTTTCTTTAAGAACAGGTGTTGCAAACTAAATCTCAATTTTCATTATTATTTTTGGATAAGAATAAGGAAAGAGAGAGAAATTAGAAACCGGTATATAAATCCTGTTATTCTTGTTGTCTCGTGTGGAGTTAGTAACAATAAAGAGAAATGGCGCGTTACATTCTGGATAAGGTTCCATCTCCTTCGTCTTTTCTTTCTCGGGTTTCTTTCTCAGTCATTTGTGAGAAACTACCAAGCACCACCCACCCAACAAAATAACATACTCGTTTTTTACTTTTTTTTTTATGCTTCGTTATGTTATCCCATCCATGCTTCAAGTTATGGTGCATTAATTAGGAAGCATAGTTATATTATTTTAAATTTCATAAAGAATATTATCTATCTTTTAGTATTTTTTTTTCTCTCATTTGGAGTGTTTCTTTTGTATATAAATATTTTCAGTCAGCACGTGCTAATATCTTATATCTATAAAATAATATATAACTATAAATATTTGTTATTGAAAAACAGTGTGTGTTGTTTTAATACTTTAAATTTTTTTGTGATTGTTAGTGTCAATTTAATGTTTGACAATTTATATATTAATAGTATAACAAATACAATAACATATATCTTTATCTCAAACTTAAACTTATAGATTTTATAGTGGATTTGTGATTAACAACGAATGAAGGTCTAATTGACAAAACAATTATACGATATATATATATATATATATATATATATATATATAATTAAAGAAAATTTTAAACAACAATAGGGTTAGTTGAGGAGAATATCTTCCTATTTATTTTATGAATAAAGGTTTCCATTATTATTATCAGTGTTGGTATCTAATATTTATAAGGAATTATATCTACAAAAATTTTGTGTATGAAAAAAAATTAAAGAGAAAAAAATACTTACAAGTACTAAATTTTAAATCATTAACTATAACTGTTATTATTTTTTCTTTGTGATAATTGATTCCAATTATTGATCAAAGATTATAACTATAATTCATCAAACAATTATAAACAAGTATTTGGTTTCTGATAAAAAAAAGGGGGGAAATATATTTGTGTTTACCTTTTTTATAATATTCAAATAAAAATATGTGATGATTTGGAATGGTGGGTGATCGACTTAATGAATATATATCCTTTGTTGGTTGTATTGTATGGAACTTAGCTTCACCACTCAATCAACTTACATAGACTCGCTTGACAAACACGAGTTAATTTACCAGAAAAGGAATATACTAAATTTACAAAAAGGATTTTCAACAGCACTTAATTGAAACATTAGTATCAATTCCGGTTCCACTGATCGAGGTTAATCCAATTAAATAAATAAATAAATTTATATATTTTTAATATAAAGTTTAAATTATGGTTTTGATTTTTAAATTTAAGTCTAATTAATCAAAACTTCAATCTAAATAAGCATACAGTGAATTAGTAAAAAAAAAGATTAATTATTTACAATAGAGCAAATCAACATTGAATTCCATTTAAAAATACTTATATTTAATATTCAATTATATCTGGAAACAATTTATTAATACATAACAAAGAAAAAGGAAACAAAAAGTTGGTTGGTTGTGTGAGAAAGAGGACAAATGCGATTATGCGATCTATTTAAACGCGTTTATGTAGATATGTGAAGGACACGTGGCGTGCAATGATTTGGAGATAGAGTAAGGAGCATGCTGGCACATGATGTAGGACCTCCTCCCTCTTATCATCTAATTCATTTTCCACCTCTGGCCCTAAAGTATAGCTTGTGATTGTTTTGGAGGGATTTGAATGACTAGATTTTAAGGGGAAATAGAGCTTAAAGTTGGGATAGTTTAGATTAAGAAAAAGAAAGATGAGAAATGTAGGAAAATATGGAAAAAGTTTATGAAAATTAGTAAGTAATGTGATAGATATAATAGATTAAAAAAAGATTTTAATTAATAAAAATTTAGTGTTTTATTTTTGTATATAAAAATAATTTAAATTAAATTGTAAATGATGTTATAATGAATGGTAGTGATTATTTAAAATGAAAAAATAAAAATATATTAAATTAAAAGATAGTTTTTATAAATTAAGATGAAATAAAATGTTAAGGATTAATTTAAATAAAATTAAGTAATAATTTGATTTTATGAAATTATTTTAAATTGATATGTGGTTGTTTAAAATTAATATAAATTAAATGGGAGTAATTTTGTTATATATATATATATATATTGATGAAAAAAGTTTAAATGAATTATGGAAAAGCGTATGCATGTCATGCACAGTGGAAAAGCTAAAAAAACATACACAATGGAAAATTTAAAAAGCATTAAAAAAATTATAATTATGTTGGAAATGAATTCACTTTCCACTCAAATCTTCTCTTTCTAACAAATGGAATGACTATCACTTCAATTTTTTCAAATTCATTTTTGCAAATCTTCTCGTATTAGCTTATTCAAGTATAACAGTCACCTACATTTCTATTCTCTCTTATACTAAATAGATAAAAACAAATAGAGACTTACAGCTTGATTTGAATATAGGAAAATAAAGTTTCAACATAAATAAAAAAAGAGTGAATTCTTTTTTGAAGATTTAAATACCTGAACAATGAGGTCAAAACAATCATCAATATTGTGTTCAAGGAATTTTCTAAACTTTTATGGTTATTATCAAATTAAATTTTTTTTATTCTGTACCAAGTTATGTTTTTACTGCACAATTATGGGATCTTAACATAGAAATTTTGGACACTAATTAGTGTTTATTCAGTTAAAACTTATGCCATGTTAGAGTATAGTAGCCAAATTTTCATACTATGGTTTAATTATTTAGTATAATCTGACTTGATTATGACTTAGGATCGGGTCTTTTTAATCATAAAGGTGACATTTTAAAATTGGATAATGATACTTTAACAACATTTTAACATCATCTACGTGTCATTCTGTGATTGATTCAAAAATACTCTACAATCAATAATAATAATCATAAACACCAATATGGACCAATCACAAAATACACGTAATGTTATTAAAATGTTGTCAAACAAATATTGTCAAAGCATTATTATCCTTTAAAATTTGGTTAATCCATCGTATAACAATATATCAACCCTTATTGTAACATTCTATAACTTATATTAGCTTCAACACTTGTATTATCCGGAAATATGTGCTCCAGAAGTAATGTGAAAAGTATATTATATAATGTAGATTTAGTTAATAGCGTGTGTGTGTCTCTCTATATATAAATATATATACTTTTTATTTTTTTTGTTGTTATAGAACAAAACTTGCAAACTACATTTTTCATACTTTTGAACGGTCTGTGAATTAATTAAAGAATACAGAACTAATTAAGTGAAGTATAACATTTTAATTCGATAAGTTTTAGTAAAGAATCATTTCAATGATTTAAGTTAGGAAGAGATCCCCCTTGTGCTTTCTATATCATAATTATTTTCCGCTGACAAAATAAAAAGTAAGGAAGGAAAATATTAAAATGTGTTCATTTCAGGCAAAATAAATCAATACAAATACAAATTTAATTAATTCACAAAATAAAATAAAATCATGTATCATCTAAAAAATCTAAAAGAATCAATTCACACGTCATTCAAATTAAATAGACCAAAACACTTTCTTCCAAGTTATTTGAAATCTGATAAACAAGACACAATGGTTTGTTAATCATGTCGTGTCTTGTCAGATTATGTTTGATTTTCACGTATATAAATAAACCTACAACTGTATAATCCCTAATAGTTGAATTTTTTTCAGCATTTTTCCTTTAGGCGTAATTTTGAGGTACATGTTCTGTGAATGAGAATCAAATTCACTGTGTTGGTATACACTTATATCATTAATAAGTCCCAATTGTTATTCGTATATTCACAAACACTTTTTTTTTTAATTATGTATAGGTTAAATTATTTTATATTTAAATTAAAAAATTTATAATTAAACATTTTATACAAGAGAGTTTCTATCATTAAAGCAAATTTAGTTTAAAAATAATTTCATTCATTTTTCTTACTATTAAAAATACCAACGTAAAAGAAAAATGTTACGTACATATATATTTTCATTAAATATCACTATGCATTCAGGACTAATGTTATATCTTTCTATGAAATCTATATTTCATTAATTATCTTTGTTATTAAGTGAAATTAATAAAAATAAATTTTTTATGGGAAAATATTAAATATGTATTACTTTTTACTTACTATTTTTTCATAAAGTATCCATAGAAACAATATAAAAATTATCAATAATTATCTATTTTTATATATAAAGGAGATTTCTCTTTTAACTGTCCACATTTATTTTTTAAATTTATTCTTTAAATACAAGTTAAAAAAAATATTTATTTTATTAATTTTACCGTTTTTCTAAATTTGATCTTTTTTTTTCAATTTGATAATTTTTTAAAATTTAACCATTTTTTAAATTATAAAACTACATAAAAAATAAATAAATAAATTTTTAAAATAAAATTATAAAAAAATTTATATTTAATTTTATAATTATGATAATAAAAATAATAATAATTTTATTATTTTTATTATCATAAAAAAAATATAAACACACGTGTTTTTACTAATTATTTGTAGTGATGTTTTACTAGCTTATTTAGTAGTATAAATAACATTGTGATTGAGATTAACCTTAAAATACAAATTTGATAATCCAATATTTATTACTCCAAATGACAAATAATCCAATTGAATATATTTTTGTATTATTCAACTTTATTCTCTTCAATCTTAAATTAAATATTATAAATACATATATATAAAGAGAGTTATCTCTTTTCGTGTTCACGACGTTTGTTTTTCAAATTTATCTTGAAATAATTTTTTTAAATTAAAATAAATAATTTATTAATTTTGTCGTTTTTTTAAAATTTAACCGTATTTTGTTTTTCAATTTAAACATTCTTAAATAATTAACAATTTTTTAATTATTAAACTATCTATAAAATAAAGAAAAATTATTTACAATAAAGTTATAAAAAATATTTTATAATAATAAAATAATAATAATTTATTATTTTTATTATATAACACTAATTACTACTAAAGAAGATACACACAAAACCTTTTTCACTCTTACTTATTATTCAAAAGTTTTCACTTGAACATCAAAGAATATTTTTTAGGCGAACTTTCATTCAAAACTCTTTATACTCACGAAAAAAAAACTTAACATTGGAAAATCCACTAACTAATTATGGGAACTTAAATCTTTTCTAATATCTGTCTAATGAGAATTCACCTTTCGTCAGTGTGTGTATATAAAATATCAATTAACATCCTTAATAGCTACCAGAATTAACTATAATATACAAACCAAGTTTTAAAGTGAGAGTTACTTAAAATAGCGTGCAAACAATGACTGGGCAACTCCTGTTATAACTATTTAAATCCTAACATTCAAAATTACAATGAAATAATAATATTAACAACTTAAAAATTAACCAAAACATAAAAAAACTAACCTAAATATAAAGGAATTTTTAGGAGAGATGTGTAGCACCACGAGGGATATTAAATAAACTTGTCATTTTAGATATATATTAAGTTCGTTTATATTTTGATGAAAAATTCTACATTGGATACGTGTATAAATATAGATAATATTTAGTTTTTTTTAGGTGTGCATAGTGACAGGATGAATATTTTACATTTTCGCTTCATCCTTATTTAAATTACCGAAGCATTTATAATTTATTAGGTAATTTATAAAACTTTATATATATATTCATCTTCATCTTCCTCTCCCTTTACTATTCCTCTTTCCCACTTGCTTCAAAAAAATGAAATGGACGTTAATAGAATTTAGGTTTTGGCCATCACCCATCTCTCTCACAACACAAAATATACACTAAAGCTGAATACAACACTTCATTCCATGCCACTTTTAGGTGTCCCCGTAATTGCGACTCACCATGCATACCAATACAACTGTTTTTGTTTTTTATCAACACCAAACATAACTTATCATGGCTAATAATTACAATAAAAAAACAATATATCACTCTGATGTCTTCCTTTTTGGTTCCTCATCACCGTAACATAGACTGATAATAATATTAATAAGTGGAATCATTTATATGGATACGCATTTGACTAGTAAAACCAATTAAGGATCATATTATCACTTTTAGCATCCATTTCTATCTTTATGCTGTGGGGACTAATGTTTAAGATTTATCTCCAATATTGCTATAATGTGGAATACTTCATAACCCATTCATCCACATCATTGATTGGAGTTCTTATTTTATTTCGAACTGTAGAATCTACTTATGGCGCACCAAAAGTTTGATCCTTTTATTAGTATTGAGAAATAAAATCTAATTAAATATTATAAAATCATATTTGTACTCTGTCTAAAACAAATTTTGTTAAAATAAATACTGATTAATGATTTTTGTATCAGTTCAGGAATGGATCTAAGTTTAATTTAATTTTATAAAATGTTTTAGTTTATGTTATTTTTATACTATAAATGTGTCTTATTTATAATTAATGTGAGAGTTATAACTCATGTTTCTAAAACCATACTAAGAAATGTGAATCTTAAGTTTAACTTAATTTTGTAAAATCAATTTGTAAAATAAGATTTACATCTGTATATGATAAATCATCTTTATTTTAGATTTTTAATAAAATTTTCTAAACATCTACATCAAAAATATATATATCTTGAATGTAAAACTAAACATTAATAAATTATTCCACGGCATCAACATATTTTACAACTAACAAATATTAGTGTAAGAAATTTTAGATAACTCCGTACAAATCGAATTATAAATAGTCCCTAAATTTATATCTCAAATCAAAAAGATATTTTCAACAATTAGTGAAATCAAGAATTCTCAAAGGGTCAGCAACACTGCTTCCATTGATCAGCGAATTTTGGAATGGCGAATAAGAACTTATACAGAAGAAAAGCCGAAGCACCGAAGATCTTCAAAAAAACGGACTTTATTTAACTTCAAAACGGTGAAGATGACAAGTGGATTATTCTTTAGATTCCTTCTGTTCAGTGATGGTTGAGTTATAAAGTTGTTTCTTATATTAAAAAAATCCACCAGGCAAATATAAGAACTATGAATCATTCTCTTATAGGAATTGAATGATATAAATAGTAATGTGTGGTTAAGTTAAGAAGACAACTTATTAATTTTATGTGCCAAATGAAAGATTGATACTTACAGTTTCACATTTTATATATATGTATATATAATGAAAAAAAAATAAACATAAGTATCAGAAAATAATTTTTTACTAACACATTAAAAAGAATATTATTTTTCATTCGTCTAATTTCAGCCTACCCCCTTTCTGAATTTTGATAAAGAAAATAAAAGCATAAGGATGGAGGTAAGAAAAGTAAAAAAAAATTGTATAAATCAAAATCGATTGAAAGTCAGAAAAAAAGAAGAAGATTCTGGGAAGGAAAATATATCTGGGCTGAGGCCAACAAAAAGGTCTTCATGTTTCTTATGCTATCTACACCCCTTTTCATTTAAAAATCATGTATTACACAGTTTTTTTTTTGTTTTTGTTTTCAGTCTCCAACATTACAACAATAGTCTCTCCGATTAAATAAAAATAACTTTCACTCCTTAAACCGTATTTATTTTTTCAGCAAAAACCTTGGTTGAAAATATTTTGAAGAAAAACACATTTATTTGTATTTCTTGCAACTTGAAAACTATTTTACGTAAGATAATTAAAGTTCATGTGATATTTGAAATATTAAGAAAACGAACACGTGTTCAAAACGTATATTCTAAAATGTAAAAAAGAAAACAAAGAATATTTTTTTCAGAATGCGTTCTTCACAACGGAAAACATTTTCTATTACACACATTTTTTTCTCAATATCTGAGAAAATACTTTTAAGAACATTATAGAATGTTAAGAAAACAATAATATATTTCGGAAGGTAGTTTCTAAAAGACGATTTTATTAGCATTTTGAAGTTGTTTTTCCTGAACATGAAAAATATTAAGAACCACTTTACAAAATATAAAATAAGCAGTTTAAAAAATTCTCCCAAAATCGTTTTTATCTCTTTCACATACTAGGATGTGCTTCCCGTAATATTGTGTTTTATAAAAGTTTTGTATAGTATTTTCTATAAAAGAAAAATTCTTTTCTTACCATTTTAAAATTAATTTCCATGATATGAAACAAAAAAGACGACACAATTTAAAAATAAAATTTTAGTTTTAGATATAAAATTTACAGGGAAGTGCGTTTAGCACAAAGGTAGTGTAAATAGTAGGTTCCGACAAAGAACAGTAATTTTAAAATAGAACCCAATTTACGAAGAACCAAAAATAGCCCATTTCACGAGTGGACCCAGATTAAAGAGGCTAAGGGAAAAAGACTTATCTATCCTGGCTGTACGCAAGAAGTTCAAGTGCTAGTTACAAAATTTGTTCTTACTCTGCCAGTGGCAAAATGGACTTTTAAAAACCCTAATTCCTATTAACCCTTATATATAACCCATTCTTAGTTTCTCTTCCCTCTGCTTCGCCTCATTCTCACTCGCAAACCCTAACACTCCTTCTTCCTCTTCTATTACTGCAACACAATGCCGCCGAAGTTTGACCCATCCCAGGTCGTCGACGTTTTCGTCAGAGTCACCGGTGGCGAGGTCGGAGCGGCGAGTTCGCTCGCTCCTAAGATCGGTCCTCTCGGTCTCTCCCCCAAGAAGATCGGAGAAGACATCGCCAAGGAAACTGCCAAGGACTGGAAGGGCCTCAGAGTGACCGTCAAGCTCACCGTGCAAAACCGTCAGGCCAAAGTCACGGTGGTTCCCTCTGCCGCGGCGCTCGTCATCAAGGCCCTTAAGGAGCCCGAGCGCGACAGGAAGAAGACCAAAAACATTAAGCATAATGGAAACATCTCTCTCGATGACGTCATTGAGATCGCGAGGGTTATGAGGCCTAGGTCTATGGCGAAGGACCTTAGCGGCTCGATTAAGGAGATTCTCGGAACTTGCGTCTCCGTGGGATGCACAGTTGATGGAAAGGATCCTAAGGACTTGCAGCAGGAGATCACTGATGGTGATGTTGAGGTCCCTCTTGATTGAGGAGGAAGAAGGCTTTGTTACTCTTTTTTCTCTTACCTCTGTTTGTTTCGTGTTTCTTTTTATTATATAAATTTGGGGAAACTATTGAACTTTTTGTTTAAGTTTATTTAATGTTTTGGATAATTTAGATGATTTCGAGAGATCTTATCATGGGCTTATTAGTTTACATCTGCTCATAAAATGATATGTTTTTCGTTATAATTTTGTCAATGGATTGTAGTCGATTTTGCGTATATATTCTGGTGTTGCTCTGTTTGTTTTCATTAGTTAAGTTGCAATTGCCTGGAATTTGAATTTTCACACCTTGAAGTCAATCCATTGTTTTTTGGGATATACGTGTAGATTAAATCATATCGTTCATTGTTACGGTTATTAATTTCTTTGGCATTTTGTTCTCTGTTTTTGCTTTGTTAGCATTCAGTTTATTTTTAATATTTAAGTAGTTTGATTTTGTCAGTTGATTTAGGGTCATAATTTAAGTGATGTTCCATGTAGGTGCGTTTGTTTTCTGGTTTAATGAAATTAACGTTAGACATTATTGATATTTGTTGAAATTGCTTGATGAAAGTCCTTGCCATACAGTTTCGTAAAGAAATTTTCAACGTGCAGATATGATGAGATCTACTGTGTTACTCGATGTAGAAAATCATCAGTTTCCTGGTTAACTCACCTAGTGTGTGTATTTTGAGAATTATGTTAGTGTGTAGTTTGTAGAAACAGTGCCAGATGCTCTCTAGCTTATATCAGATTGTGTTAATGTTCAGTATTAAGCAGTATTGAATCTTTGCGCAATCAACATTGAAGATACTGGATTACATGAGATGTCTTGGTTTGAAATCTGCTTTTTATTTCATGCATATTGGATGATGCTTTTCGTTGACAGTAAATCATAGTGTGGATTTCCTTTATTTTGGTAATTGTTTTAGGGGATTTAGATTTAAGCTATGATAGTGTTTGGTTGATCATTGCCGTTTTCCTCATATTTGTTTGTACTTTTTTAATAGTTTACATTAGTTGGTTGCAATGCATCATGCGTTTCCTGGTATCTTGTGAGAATTGCTTTATTACTTGTGAGTGGTAAGTTCGCTAGCTGATTGTAGATGCCTTGCATCATTTATTGCCCCTATATCTGCATTCTTTATACAACTTCCTTCTAGCATGTTTGTTTTATGCATGAGTTTTCTCAGTGCACAGTGATTTTGTCATATCAATTTGCAAACTTCTAATGGCTACTCTTAACGTGTAGTGTTTTAGGATTTTGGTGTATGACATCTGAATTTAAGGGTTCAATATGACATTGATATGTGGAGTGCGGGTTTTGGTGTGTTTTGCTTGCCTGTACATCTGAAGTTAGATAGGGTCTCAACAAATTGCAGGTTTTTATCCTTGTTGAAAGTGTTATTCTTAGACAATAGTTAACTGCATGTGCATCTAAACTGGCAGTTGCTGGTGGTAATCTTTCAATCATAATCATTACGGTTTCCGTGTTTGGATTTCAGATAATACATTTGAATCAATCATGTGTTTCCTGTTTGGTTATAGTCATAAATAAAATCTGTTAGACTTTGATTGCTTGTAGGTTTTGAGTTTCTTTTTTTATTTGCTGCTGAGTTTAAAAAAACTTAATTTTCTGCTTAAATTTAAAGACGCATGTTTTGTAATTTTATTTGCGATCCAGAATTTCTGTTTGTTTCCATGTGCCATACATATCACCGAGTGACTCAAAAACTATGTTAAGTCTGAGGAGCGAATTGTTTAAGAATTGTCGTCCAGTTTGAATTAAAAGTTTTGATAGAATGATTTTATTTGTATAAAATGTTTTTAATCACCTATTGTACGAAAAATCGAAAAAGAAATCAAGACTTGTCGTAACTGCAAAATTGATACGAATCTGCCAAGATAAAGTTTCTTCGAATATGTGCACGACGCTGTGAGTTCTATGTTCTTTTGCAGTATTCTTTACGCTCTGCTTGTTTGTTTATAAAAATCAACAGAAGGTCTTACGATCTTTTCCATGCAGTTTCCGTATGTTCTGGAACAGTTCACAACGTCTGAAATAATTTATAATTTCTTCGTAATTAATTTAACATAAATAAAAAGTTCTAATAGTTTATGAATAGTGTGAAAACCATATTTAGAGAAATTAATTGAAAGCACTTAGTGCAAATGGTTCAAATTGTAGTCTATGGAGATTTAATTTTACTCTCTCGAAAGTACATGTTTGTCAATCGGGTTAATTTTTATAAAATTTTGGAAAATTGATCTTTAAAACTTATTTTGTAGATAATTTTTTGTAAGTTAATTGATATATTTTAATTTTAGTTTATGAAGTTGTTTATTTTATTTATTTGTTTAATGTGTTTATGAAAAAATTTAGAAATATACTAAATGACGGTTTTATTTAAGTTTAAAATTTAAAGTATGTTCTTAAATCGGAAGATGTTTTGGTTTGATAAACCTTTAACTTAGTTTTCGAAGTAAATATATTAACCTAAAAATTTAAGGGTTTTAATTTAATGTTTTTTTGATCATGTGTGAATTTAATTGAAACTTGGCACTGCTACTGTTTTAGTAAACCCCGTATCTTTACTAAAAAAATTGGGTTTTCTAGTAGTTGATCCTGTTGAGAGAAATGTTTTCTCTTGGAATTGTGTACATGTTATTTGGTAGCATTACTTTAGGTTTTCTTTCTTCTTATGGTGGGGAGATTTTATTTCATCACAAAAACTGAGATGAAAAAAATAGGAATTTCATCTTACACCTCTAAGATCTCATCTTCAACTTCAAAAATTCCACTTTCAACCTTCTGACATCTCATCCTTCACCTCCAATTTTTTTAAAACTTTCAATTTTAACTTAAATAAATATTTTTCCATTTTCTTTTTTTTATTAAAAACAATTTTTACCAGTTTAATAATAATTTAATTTAATTTAGAATTTAAATATTATTTAAAATAATTTTGTATTTTAATAATTATTAAAATATAATTTATAATATAATAATAGTTATATTAAAAACCTAAAAATAAAATAATAAAAATAAAAATGATAATAATAATAATAAATAATAATAATAGATCTGATTTAATATATTCAAATATATTAAATTATAATAGAATATTAAAATAAATTAAATAATTATTAAAGTTTAAATAAAAATGTAAATTTTTAAAAACTTATTTATATATTAAAATCTGTAAAATATGTTAATACTTTTTCTTTTTATTTAAAATTTAATAAATATTAAACTTAAATAAAAATTATAATATTACTTATTATATTTTAATAATTAATAAAATATGATTTATATTTTTAAAATAGTTCTATTAAGAAAATAAAAAAAAAAACTAAAATAAGAATAAAAATGAAAATAAAAATAATACTTAAAATCATATTTAATATATTTAAATTATATTAAAATTTTAAATTAAATTTAATAATTATTAAAATTTTAGGAAAACAAAATTTTGAAAAATTTGTTAATTGGATATATATATGATAAGTTATGAATAGGATATGATATCCGATAAAGAATGATATGAATAGGATATGATATCCGATAAAGAATGATTTTTAAAATTTTATTTTATATATTAGTTTTAATAATTATTTAATTTAATTTAATATTTTAATATAATTTAATATATTTAAATATTTTATTTAATATAATTTTATTTGTTATTTGATAAATAATTGTTTTAAAATTTTATTTTTTATTTAAATTTTAATAATTATTTAATTTAATTATATAATTTAATATATTTGAATATATTAAATATTTTATTTAATATAATTTTATTTTTATATTTTTAATATAACTATTATTATAACATAAATAATATTTTAATAATTATTAAAATATAAAATTATACTAAATAATTTTTGAATTTTAAATTTAGTTATTATTAAGGTCGTGTAGAGTCTTTTAACAAGAAAAAGAAGAAAATAAAAATATATTTATTAAAGTTACAAATAAAATTTTCTATAAAGTTAGAAGTGTAGGATAATAATGAGATTTCAGAAGGTTAAAAGTGGAACTTTTGGAGGTGCAGGATGAGATCTTGGAGGTGTAGGATGAAACACTCAAAAACTAGTGTTGAATAGCTGTCCGTAATAACTGGGCCTTTGTTTTTAGTTGTCCAAATAGTTGGGCCTAGCTATTTTGTTGTAGGGTATTGCTTCTTGCACCCCATGGTTTTTAGTTCCATTTCTCCTTTCATGATTTTTGTTTAAAGTTGTCTGTTCTTGGGTTACTGAGCTGTTAGTGAGGTATGGGGAAGGTGGTGAAGATTTCCGCAACCGAGGCATATTGTGAGATATCGGAAAACAATACGGTTATCATTTTTGTGATGTGATCTGGGTTATCAGAAAACAGAACAGGCCTTCGGAAAATAGGATCCCGAATAGGGATGGGAGGGGTAAACTGGTTTTCAGATTACTCTTTTCGGAGTTGATTGTATTCCACAAAGTTAATTCCGAAATGGGTCTTGGGTGTACTGGAAAGATGTTGGGTTTGGGCGTCCAACTAGTCCAAAATAGTGGTGAACACATTTTTTACTTAACTTTCACAAAAAGCCTAAAATTGTGGTTAACGCATTTTTTACTCACTTAAGTTAAGTGAGGGAACTGCTAAGTCAGTGTGTAAGTGTCCTTAGAGTCTTAAAATAGAGTCAAGCGGTTTGGGATAGAAAATTATGTAGAATTTTCACTATACAATCTCGATAGAATGATGATCATGGATTCATTGAATGTTGAATTTTGGCTTAAACTTTCACGAGATGTTCTCAACACCTGGTTGTTCGTTTTAATCGATCATATCGTTGATTGGATGTCTAAAGTCAGAGATGTCGATCTCGAATAGTAGTTGATTTTAAATTTGTCTTTTCATTTTATAAGTTTTCTAGCATTACTTTGTGTAATTAAGGAAGATTATTTTGTATCACTGGTAAGATATTGTCCGCTTTGGGCTAAGTCTTCACGGATTTGTTTTAGGTACCACTCCTAAAAGCCTAAAATTGTGGTTAATGCATTTTTGACTCACTTAAGTTAAGTGAGGGAACTGCCAAGTCAGTGTGTAAATGTCCTTAGAGTCTCAAAACAAAGAGTCATGCAGTTTGGGACAAAAAATTATGTAGAATTTTCACTATGCAATCTCGATAGAATGATGATCATGGATTCATTGAATGTTGATTTTGGCTTAAACTTTCACGGGATGTTCTCAACACCTGGTTGTTC